ATGGGGATTGCATTGAATCTATAGATTCAATTTTGGTAGAATTGCCATTTTTACTATGTTGATCCTCCCAATCCAAGAGCATGGGAAATTCTTCCATTTTCTGGTATCCTCTTCTATTTCTTTCTTCAAAACCTTAAAGTTTTTGTCAAATAGGTCTTTCACTTCCTTGGTTAGAGTTACCCCAAGATACTTTATGCTATTTGTGGCTATTGTGAAAGGTGATGTTTCTCTGATTTTCCTCTCTGTATCTTTGTTCTTTGTGTATAGGAGGGCAACTGATTTTTTGGAGTTGATCTTGTATCCTACCACAGTACTAAAGGTGTTGATCAGTTGTAAGAGTTCTCTGGTAGAGTTTTTGGGGTCGCTTAGGTACACTATCATATCATCTGCAAATAATAAAAGTTTGACTTCTTCCTTTCCAATTCGAATCCACTTGATCTCTTTATGATGTCTTATTGCTATTGCTAGAACTTCAAGCACTATATTGAAGAGGTATGGGGAGAGTGGACAGCCTTTTAGTGTTCCTGATTATAGTGGGATGGCTTTGACTTTCTCTCCATTTAATTTAATGTTAGCTGTCGGCTTGCTGTATATTGCTTTTATTATATTTAGGAATCAACCTTGTATACCTAATCTCTTCAAGACCTTGATCATAAAGGGGTATTGAATTTTGTCAAATGCTTTTTCAGCATCTAATGAAATGATCATATGGTTTTTTTCCTTCAGTTTATTTATATGATGGATTACATTGATAGATTTTCATGTGTTGAACCAGCCCTGCCTCTCTGGGATGAAGCCTACTTGATCATAATGGATAATTTTTTTGATGTGTTCTTGGATTCTGTTTGCCAGTATTTTATTGAGAATTTTTGCATCTATGTTCATGAGTGAGATTGGTTTGTAATTTTCTTCCTTGGTTAAGTGTTTATGTGGTTTTGGTACCAGGGTGACTGTAGCTTCATAAAAGAAGTTAGGCAATGACTCTTCTGTTTCTCTTTTGTGAAACACATTAAGGAGTATAGGTATTAACTCTACTTGGAAGTTCTGGTAGAATTATGCATTGAAACCATCTTGTCCAGGGCTTTTTTTGGTAGGGAGGTTTCTAATGACAGCTTCTATTTCTTCATGGCTTACAGGTCTATTTCAACTGCTCACCTGGTCTTGACTTAATTTTGGTATATGGCATTTATCTAAAAAATGTCCATTTCTTTCACATCTTTCAATTTTGTAGCATACAGGTTTTTGTAGTAAGATCTAGTGATTCTCTGAATTTCCTCTGTGTCTGTGGTTATGTTCACCTTTTCATTTCTGATCTTGTTAATTTGCGTGTTCTTTCTCTGGATAGGGGTTTGTCAATCTTGTCGATTTTCTCCAGGAACCAGCTTTTTGTTTCATTGATTCTTTGGATTGTTTTCTGTGTTTCAATTTTGTTGATTTCAGTCCTCAGTTGGATTATTTCCAGTCTTCTACTCCTCCTGGGTGAGTCTGCTTCTTTTTTTTCTAGAGCTTTCAAGTGTGCTGTTAAGTCTCCAATGTGTGCTTTCTCTGTTTTCTTTATGTGGGCACTTAGTGGTATGAACTTTCCTCTTAGCACTGCTTTCATAGTGTCCCATAGGTTTGGGTATTTTGTGTCTTTATTTTCGTTGAATTCAAGGAAGACTTTAATTTCTCTCTTTATTTCTTCCTTGACCCAGGGATGGTTCAGTAGTTGAGTGTTCAGTTTCCATGAGTTTGTAGGCTTTCTGGGGTTAGAACTGTTGTTGAATTCTAACTTTATTCCAAGGTGATCCAATAGTACACAAGTGATTACTACAATTTCTTTATATCTATGGATGTTTACTTTGTTACCAATTATGTGATCAATTTTTGAAGGTTCCATGAGATGCTGAGAAGAAGGTATATTATTTTCTGTTTGGGTGGAATGTTCTATAGATGTCTGTTAGGACCATTTGGTTCATTACATCTGTTAGTTCTCTTATTTCTCTGTTAAGTTTCTGTCTGGTTGATCTGTCCATTGGTGAGAGAGGAGTGTTGAAATCACCTGCTATTAGAGTGTGGGGTTTGATGTATGTTCTGAGTTCTAGTAATGTTTCTTTTACATATGTGGGTGCTTTTATTTTAGGGGCATAGATATTCAAGATTGAGACTTCCTCCTGATTAATTTTTCCTGATATGATTAAGTGTCCATCTCTTTCTCTTCTGATTGATTTTAGTTTGAAATCTATTATGTAAGATATTAATATAGCCGCATCCACTTGTTTCTTTGGTCCATTTGATTGAAAAACCTTTTCCCAACCCTTTACTCTGTGGTAGTGTCTGTCTTCGTGTTTGAGGTGTGTTTCTTGTAGGCAGCAGAATATTGGATCCTGATTTTGTATCCATTCTCTTTTCCTGTGCCTTTTTATAGGCGAGTTGAGTCCATTGATATTAAGCAATATTAATGACCAGTGGTTGTTGACTCTGGTTATTTTTCCTGGTGGTAGTGTTTGTGTGTTTCCCTTCTTTGAGTTGTGCTGGTGGAGGGTTGGCAGATGCTTGTGTTATTATGGGTGTTGTTGGCTTCCTTGGTTTGTGATTTTCCTTCTAGTATTTTCTGTAATGCTGGGTTTGTGGCTACGTATTGTTTAAATCTGTTTTTGTCCTGGAATATCTTGTTTTCTCCATTGATGGTGAATGCAAGCTTTGCTGGGTATAGTAGTCTGTGCTTGCATCCTGATCTCTTAGTTTCTGCAGCACATCTATCCAAGACCTTCTAGTTTTCATTGTTTGCATTGAGAAGTCAGGTGTAATTCTGATAGGTTTCCCTTTAAATGTTACTTGATCTTTTTTTCCGTGCAGCTCTTAATATTTTTTCTTTATTCTGTATGTTTTGTGTTTTGATTATTATATGGTGAGGGGATTTTTTTTTTGATTCAGTCTATTTGGTGCTATGTATACTTCTTGTACCTTCATAGGAATATTATTCTTTAGGTTGGAAAAGTTTTCTTCAATAATATTGGTGAATATATTTTCTAGGCCTTTGAGCTGTAAATCTTCTCCTTCTTCTACACCTATTATCTTAGGTTTGGTCTTTTCACGGTGTCCCAGATTTCCTGGATTTTTTGTGTTAAGAATTTGTTGGATTTGTTTTGATCTTTAATCAGTGAGTCTATTTCTTCTACAGTATCTTCAGTGTCTGAGATTCTTCTATCTCTTGTATTCTGTTGGTAATACTTGTCTCCACAGTTCTTATTCGTTTACCCGGATTTTCCATATCCAGTCTTCCCTCAGTTTGTGTTTTCTTCATTACCTCCATTTCATTTTTCAAGTCTTGAACTGTTTCCCTTACCTGTTTGATTGCTTTTTCTTGTTTTTCTTGGGTATCTTTGAGAGATTTATTCATTTCATCTACTTTTTTGTTTGTTATCTCCATTCTTTATGGCAGTTTTTCACCTCCTGTTTAAGTTCCTCTATTATTTTCATATAGTTCCATTTAAAGTTGATTTCTTCTATTTCTTCTGGTGTAGGGTGTTCAATTCTTCTTGTTTCATGATCCCTGGATTCTGGTGATGCCATGTTGCCTTTCAGGTTGTTGGAGGAATTCTTGCATTGGTGCCTGCCCATCTCTTCCTTCAAATGGAGCCAGGAGAGTCTTGGTGTCTTGGTCCAGTCTTTGCTGTGACTGACTCTCTGGGTGGATCTCTTCAGTGCAGGAGCAGGAACTGTTCCTGTCAGGATGGAACTCCTCAGCACAGACACAGTGTCTCCTGGTAGTTCAAGACACCAGAGACAAAAGGGCAATTGTGGGGACAGGGCAGGGCAGGTTGAGTGGAACACAGAAGACCCTGCAACAAAGCTGGGGTGGGGGCTGTGCTCTCTTCCAGGACAGTCTGCCCGGGATAGCACACACCCACCCCTCTGGATGGAACTCCTCAGCTCTGAAATAGGGACATCTGGTAGTCCCAGGACACCAGAGACAACAGGGCAAACGTGGGGCAGGGTAGGGTTGAGTGGAAGACAGAAGACCTTACAGCAGGAGCTGGGGGGGTGTCATAAATTTACTTTAAAAAATTTAATAGCTTATGTCCCTTTCTTAAAGTTATTGATCAACTTATCTTCCTCATTGGTTTGTTTTTAATCTTACAACTCATTAATTTGGAAAAGATTAATATATCTTCCCTTTCCTAGAGTAACTGAGCACTTCATTCTTTTAGCACTTATGAGTTCATGAGGACAAACTGTCCCTGAGTCTCCAACCAAGAAAAGATATAAGAAGTATTTGACAGGCATCACTCATGACCTGCTTTACGACCTCTAGAGAGAGTACACCAGGTCTCCGTGTCTTATCTTCCCTGTGCAATCCTCTCAGCCCATAAAGCCCATCACTCACAGATGAACTGGAAACTTCTCTGGAAGACTCTGAGTGGGGAAATAAAAGTGAACATTTAATGGACAAAACAGCCACAGCCTCTGAACTGTTGTCCTTAAACCAAATATCTCTGTGTGTGAGGTTGATCACATGGGTCTCCCGGACATGTAGCCGTGTGAGGACTTCTCTAGGTTAGTGCCCTTCCTAAAATAATGACAATGGAGCCTTTTTTTAAATAGAAAATATTGATTAAAATGACTCCTTTTCCTCTCCTGCTCTCTCTTATACACACACACACACACACACACACACATACACACACATGCACACAAATAAGCAGATATTCTCTGCTAGTATTTTTCCACTTTGATTTGATAATTATTTATTTAACCTATTTATCTATTTATTATCTCTCTATAACTTTCAATCTCTGGTTGTTCTCTGATTATATTTTTAGATATTGTTGAATCATATTTTAGAAACAGAGAAAGGGAACTTTACCTTAATTAGGAATATGGGTGGATGGAATGTCTCCTCAGAATCAAGCATCTCTGTCAATGGATCTCTGGTTGATGTTGTCTTTTTGTTTTGTTCCCTGTCAAAGGTACTGTGTTTACTGACATTCCAAAGTTTGTTGCACATCTTTCATAAAATGTTGGGCTTCTCAGGAGTTCAAGTTATGTACATCACCTTGTCCTTTCTTCTTTGTTCTGGTTAGTATATTTTGCTGTACTAGATGAGAACCTTAAACAAACTCTAAAAAATCTCAGGGAGGAAAACCTCTGAAACACCAGAAATGATTGAATGAGCTTGTCTCACTGGGGTTGTAGTCCTTCAACTGGTCATGTTAGGAATGTCTCTAAAGTGACAGCAGTGGATTGTTCTTCTGACTAGTCCACTTGGAGAAGTTTGAAGAGAGCAGTGGGTTAGGACAGGCTGGGCAGGCTTTCAATCTCTGGTCATTTGTCCTCCAGATTTCTCACTAAATCCTGTTGTTAAATGCAAAGTTGAGAGAGGACAGACTAATGTCTTTAAATATGCCATTCTTTGAAGACGCTGTTTATTTGACAGCTTTAGGCTGTCTTAGTTAAGGTCAACTTTAGGGGATGTTTTATCAACTATCAGTTCAAGATTGGTCGTGAAATTCAAAATGAGGCATTTGTGAAATATTGCTTAGAACATTGAAATTACAGCTGATTAAAATTTTTTTCAAGTCAAGTGAATACTTGAAAAATAATTTGAATTCTGAATTCAGGATATTTCACTTAATAGTTGTATAAAATTAATATATCCAGGTCTGTTAACAAATGGAAGATGATACTTTTGTATATGAGAGCAGTATAAAAGACTGCTTTTTCCAGATATACATATATATCTGTGAATTAGAATTTTCTTGGTTTGCATGTATTTTTAGTTATTTTTTACAACTAACACAAAATTCTCATCTATTCCTCATAACATTGACAATTCACATAGATGTGTGCTACACATAAATGTAGGTACTGCGTACAAAAACAACATGAACAAGGGTTTTTTATATATACATTTTATCTATCTACTCTGTTTTGTTTTCAGAAAGTTCCCATTTAAGAGCAGCAATTAATATACACGTAAGTTACTATCATTTCCTTCGGAAATTTAAAATGTAAAATGTTCTTTTTTTCTAAACTGAGTAATTTATTGTAAAATTTACCAAAGAAAATAAACTTTTCAAAAGTTGAAAAATGATATATTTTCTTACCACAAGCTCAAAACAGCAATCCTGATCTGCAAGACAGTTTATTATTGATGCAAGATGTGAGAATGAGTATCTTTTTTTAAAATTTATTTTGCATACCAACCATAGTTTCCCCTCCCTTTTCTCCTCTACTTCCCTTTCCCACCTCCTTTTCACCCCTCCCCCCAACCACTTCTCCTCATTCTTCTTTCTAAAGGGGTAAAGCCTCCCATGGGAGTCAGCAAAGCATGGCATATCTGTTCAAGGCAGGACCAACCTCCTCCCTCTCCCATCAAGGCTGGGCAAATGCATTCCACTCTAGGGACCAGGTTTCAAAAGAGCCAACATCAGGGACAGGTCCTGGTCCCACTACTATGGTCCCCAGGAAAGAACAAGCTACACAACTGTCACCCACAGGCAGAGGGCCTAGGTGGGTCCTATTCTGACTCTCTAGCTGTTGATCCAGGGTCCATGAACTTCCACAAGTTCAGGTCAGTTTTCTCTGTCGGTTTCCCTGTCTCAATCTTGACCCCGCTTGCTCCTATAATCCATCCTCCCTTTCAACTGGACTCTCAGAGCTCTGGGCAACTTATGATTGATACAAAGTTTTACAGTTAGTATCATAATTCCAAATTCCAGCCATTGATATTCAGATATATAATTCAATATCTATACAGCCCAGTGGGGTACAATTCAGTGGTTAAGTTAACATCAAAAACAGTGCCTTCCATATACTCATAATGTACAATGTTATTTTGAAAATAAATGTTAAATTTGAAAATAAATAAATTTTCCTTCTAAATATCAGTATATCTGTGGCATATATATCACAAGAATGTATGAAAAGTAAGTCACATGTATATAACATGTATAGCACTGATTTCTTTTAATAAATTACCATAGTATCTAAAATTGATCTTGTGTTTTTATTAACATGAGAATAAATGAGATGTACTGCCATGTAAATATACAGTAAAGATGTGCATTGATGCAGAGAAATTACAGAGTAATGAAAGAATAATCAATAAAAAGTTAAATTTGGTGATGGGCTGAAGCACAGATGTTTCAATGTGAGTTGGCGGCCTTACAAGATCATGTTACACCAGCTGTGTTGTGTTCTATTTAGTAGAGACACAAAACTATAAGCGTATAAATGTAATAATTAATTTCCCATGTTTTATATATGTTGCATGTCCTTTATATCTATGTGTAGATGATATTTATACTTTTTGTGTTGCATTACATATTAAAAGTAAGAACAGATTATTCAACAGCCAATGCTCTAATACATTTACGACATCTTTGTGTGTTATAGTGACAGTGTGCTAAGTATAATTCTGAAGAATGTTGTACCAAAGAGTATATTCCAGTCTGTGGAACCAATGGCCATACTTATGCTAACAAATGCATTTTCTGTATTGCACACAGGTAAGAATACCATTCTCAATATAATTTCTTCCTAAGCAATGAAGATTTAGTAGCAAAATCTTAAATTTGTGTTATTGATATTCCATGCTCATAATACTCAGAAAAAAATGCCCCTACCAAACCAGTGTACTATGAAAGGCATAGAAACATGTGTTCCTCGCTTTAATGTTGTGATTTCTGAATGTGGCTTTTTCTATTTGGGACTTAAAAACAGAATTGTGTTGAAGATTGTGCAAACAAACAAATCAATTTATTTAATCATTAGGAATTCCTAATTTCAGATGTATGAACATTATGAAATAATTCCAAAGCTTATGGTCAATAGATCTCTGTTGCAATCTGCAATCTATCAGGCTAGCAAGAAACTCACTGGGAGCATCCTCTTATCCCCTGAACTCCATGGAAGATTCTACACCACAGGATGCTCTAGGACCCCTCTGTCCAATATCTTTGTCCTTTTAGCTCTGGGATTAGATTACTGTGTCTCATGTGTATGAAATTCCTCTACTGTTTTATCTTACATGATCTCAGTGGATTTTCCAGTTCACAATCCTCCAATTACCATGTCTTTCTCAAGGCCTACTAACAACCTGTAATGCTTTCCGTTTTTGAGTCTGGGCAAGCTCCACGACTAAGGCAGAGCTGAGGCAGTAGAAATGGTCCAGTACACCCACAGCAGGACGTGTGCAGATGCTGGGAGCAGTCAGGGTTTAGTTGCTCATAAAAGGAGAAATTAATGTTTCCAATTTAATTTTTCCCCTTTGAAACTTCATGGCACAATTCTCAAGGAGTTTGAAGTCATCTTTCAATAATTTCTTCAGCCATTTTTTGACCTCCTTTATTTTTTTCTTTGCAGAAAAACCCATGGTTTCATTATGTTGGCACATGATGGTGAATGCTGAGTTTTAATGGAGCTACATATCCCTGGGGATCTTATCATGATCACAGTTTTGCCCTGAAGTCTACAGTGGATCAGAGATTTTGTTATCAGATTCCCAAAGCCCTAGAAGATTGGGTGAATCTCTCTGTAGGATACACATGAGAAGACTAGACTGTCATTGTTCTTTTCATTTCTCAGGTCCTCTGGTCTCAAGGTTTTACTTCATATGATGAACTACTTAATGACAGTTAAGTTCCTAAATCTTAATTTTCCATTCTGTAAACTGACAACTTAAAACCATCAATGCCCTAGTTATGGTTCTTAATAAAATCTTAAACTGCACTCTTTATTGAGAAAATCTTTAGGGAGTTAGAAAGATTTCCCAGTGGTTAGGGAAACTTGATAATCTCTGCGAGAACCCAAGTTTGGTTTCCAGTGCTCATATCAAGTTTCTTATAACCTCCATCTTCAGGGAGTCTCAAATTATCTTCTGTCTGCCACAGACACCTGCATAGACATTTGTACATACACAGAAATATAAACATAGACACTAATAAAATTAAATCTTTAAAAAACGGTGTTCTTTCCTTCATTGGAATATGAGATACTTTTGACAAATGCCTATGACAAGCTTTGAAGTGCTCATTTTTGAATAGTTTCTGTGGCAATGTCTTTTTCTAGATATAAATCTTGTCTCAGGAAGTGAACTTTTGTAACTTGACCTTGCAAGGAATTTGACCATAAGCATCAAGTCTATTTACTCTGAAGCATATACTTTCTCTTTTCTTGGGAACCCTTCCTTGTTCCTATACCATAACAATGAGTGTTCTGTGGAAACTGTTCACCTGAAGCACCAAGTTGAAAATAACCTTGAAAACAAACATGCCCTAGAAAGATTGAAGGTAACATGTGGTTCTAGGTTGCTAACAAAGGTTTTCAGTTGTGTGCTCTTCTGGGTCAGAACAGGATACACCTCACTTTTGCAGCCTTTTGAAATACTTTGCCACTTTAATCATTTATATTTACCCTTTATTTGATCTACACACACATACATATGATTATATATGTAATATACGACTATATATGCATATTTAGTGTGTGTTTACTGTTTGATGTGTGCTTAGTATGTGATGTGTGATATGAGAGTTAATATTAGTAGCAGGGACTGAAATAAAGGGACCCATGTTTGCCTCAGGTGAAATCACCAGGGACAGCTAGAATTCAGCAAATAGCTGCCAGTGAAATCAACACACCTTGTGATTGCTTTTTGATTTTTGAAACCCTGCATCAAAAAACGAAAAAAGCAAAAGCAAAAGCAAAAAAAAAAAAACCAAAAAACAAATAAAAAGGAACAAGTCAGCAAGCAGCACTCCTCCATGGAATCTGTTTCAGTTCCTGCTTTGAATTTTTGCCCTGATTTACCTGAGTGATGGGGAACTCTAAGCTGAAATAGAACCTTTCTTCGCCAAGTTGATTTTGGTCATGATGTTCAATAGCAGCAAGCAAAATCCCAAGACAGTCAGTGATACCCGAGACCACTGCAGGAGCACAACGTCACTGCCTGCTAATTCACCCTGTCTATATTCCAAGTTCATATTAATTCCTTTCATGCTCCTGTGAGTTTCTTGCTTTTTGGTTCCTATTCTTGGGAAGGTACCCTTGTTTGGCAAATCTTTCTGAAACCTGCCTTTACTAGCTTTATATTGGCTTTCAGTGCTATAAACATTATTATAAACAATTTTATAAATATAGGGTCACTACAAATCACCAACTTTCAATTGTTTATCCTTTTATTATTTATATTTTTGTTTAAGGGTAGGAATAGTGACTTGTGACCTCATTATGAACCAAAACCCTCAATTGCACAAAGGTTGATTTTTGAAAATTTTATTGTAAAACAGACTTTAATAGAAAAATTTTACAACAAAAATGATTGATTAAAAACTATTCAATTATTTCTTTCCAAGAAAAATATAATTCTCTCTATAAATATCCTGCTACATTATATGCTAAGATTCATTATCTAAGTCCTTTTATGTTTCATCATATAATTTCCAATGTTACTAATAAGAATGTTATTATTTAATAACATTTCCAATGTTACTAATAAGAATATTTTAGCAAACAGCATGTGTCTATGCAATTGCCTATTTCTTAGGACAGAAGGTACACGCAATCATCAGCAAAATATAACAAAAACAATTATTTGCCATGTCCCCATAAGTGATCTATGGAAGGAAATGGGAGTCAACACAGCATGCTCTACACTGCTTTGTGTGTAGTGTTACAAAGGGACGCTTCTCACAACCCTGACAATAACACAACTTCACTTCACATCATACCTGTGAGTCAACGTGGCATGCTTTACTCTGCTTTGTTTGTAGTATTATAAAGGGATGCTTCTCACAACCCTGCTAGCAGCACAACTTCATTTAGCATCATACCTGTGTGATAACTAAATGTTGCTGTTTGTTTTTTACTCTTTGCTCTTTTGGGGGCTCTGCCACTCAGCTCCCACATAAATACACGTAGAGGTTTATTTTTACTTATAAATGCCCAGCACTAGTTTGGCTTATTTCTAGCCAGCTTTTCTTAACTTAAATTACCCTGTCTACCTTTTGCTTCTGGTCTTTTATCTTCATCCCACATGCCCTTTCTTACTTCTTTCTCCATGGTTTGCTGTGTAGCTGGGTGGCTGGCCCCTGGAGTCCACCTTCTCTTGCTCCTCAATCTCTCTTGCTTCTTCTCTATTCTCTTTTTCTCCTTTTATTTATTCTCTCTGCCTGCCAGCCCTGCCTATCCTTTCTCCTGCCTTGTTATTGGCCATTCATTTTGTTATTAGATCAAGCAGTTGTTTTAGGCAGGCAAGTAACACAGCTTCACAGAGTTAAACGAATGATACATAAAAGAATGAAATAGTCAGCAGAGCCATGGTGGCACACACCTTTAATTCCAGCACTCGGGAGGCAGAGGTAAGCAAATCTCTGTGAGTTTGAGGCCAGCCTGGTCTACAAGAGCTAGTTCCAGGACAGACTCGAAAGCTACAGAGACACCCTGTTTCTAAAAAATCAAAAAAAGCCACAATCTTTGTATTGTTAAACAAATATTCCACAACATAAACAAATGTAACTCAACACGCCTTAAAATAATATTTTACAACAACAAAATGTTGAAACATAAAAAGAAGTCATTCCAATCAAATCTTATTGTTGTAGGGAACTGATGTCTATACAAAATCATGCTGATATAGATATCTGACATGAGACAATATGGGTTCTGAGTCAGCACAAATTGTCCGACTTCAGACGTCAATGAAAATAGACAGTGACATAATGTGCCATGTAACTATTCCTGGCCAAATGTAACGTTTGTTTGTAGACTTGAGGTCAGAGGTCTTTGCCATTTTATATTTACCAACTTGCTTTAGCTAGTCTGTTAGTATGGGCCTTCAGTGTGGTCGATATGCTGGCCTGTGTGTGCCTGTGTAGCTTGTGTGTGCCAGCATGTGCCTGGCTATCTGCCAGGGCAGTTTGTCTTCTCTTAAAGCATTCTCACACTCACTTAAGTTGTCTTGTCTCGTATGATCCCCTTTCTTCTCTGATACTGTAGTTTCTTACCACATATGAGTCTGTCTTGTAGAAAAATTCTAAGTATTTATTTATCCTGGCTACAAATCTAGCGGCAGATCCCTGAACTTTTCCCCCTGTTTTAAATTTCTTTCTCTTTTCTAGGTACTTGTTTGGGAGGTTTCTTTTACCTTCATACTTCTCTGTTTACGAGGACAAACTCTCTCTAACATCTTTCTAAGGGGAGGTCTTTGAAAACAACGCTAGAGCTCCTGCGTGGGCTGCTGTAAAGCCTATGAAAAGAGTTCCTGCATCTCTGTATCTTGGGTCACCAGTCTTCTGGAATTTATCAGATGAGTACTGTATGTATGCTTCTTACTCACCCATCTATCCTGATTTTCCCTCTCTGAGAATCCCTGGTATGCATACATGCCAAGCTGCCCCACTCTCCAGATACCACACTTCATTCTCAAGGCTTCCTATTCTTCCTACATGCTAAGTAATCCAATATAGTTCATAAAGTTGAACCTCAACCATTGAGAAAAACCCAAGTTTCCCTTTGAGTCAGGTATAAGAGACAAAAGCCTTTTCAGCTGGTGGGCTTACTTCCCTGTCTTCGAACTACCAAGTACCCTACTTTGCAGGAGTCAAATTGCATTGATCATATTATATTTTTTTCCCAGTATAACTAAAAACAATGTGTTAGTAAATAATGTGTGCTGTGAAATTCTTTACTCTTACAGACAGGTTTTCAGGGTAACTTTATATGTACGCTAGTTTTCTAGAATAAAATATAAGCACAAACATTAACAAAATATAAAAAATTATATATGCCATCATATGTGATCCATCGATAGAAACAGGAGTTCACAGAATTTGCTGTACTGTGCATTTTCTCTGCATAGCATTCGAAAGGGATCCTGTCCTCATAGTCCTACAAATGGATCAGCTATTTCATAACTTCAGTTAAATCTACAAATATCTGATCAAAAGTGGTAAATTATAAAAATAAAACATTACCTCTAGTACAGAGAAATTCTGAGAATTTCCAAGACCCTTGCTTGGAAGCTTTTCTCTCCTTTTTGATCTATCATGAATTTTGCTATTTTTGTTATTTTCATGCTTCTGCGTTTATGAGAGTAAATTTTCTACAACCCCCTATGCAGGAATGTCTTTGAAAATTATCTGATGCTTTTGCTTGAGTGACTTTAAGGCCTCCAGAAGGAACACATGTATCTCTTTATCTTAGGCCACCAGGGTTATGCAAATCAAGCCCACAGATGAATTTAAAAAATTCTCTGGTTGGATCTCTATGGAAAGAGCATAACAAAATTGCCCTTCTCCATGCCAGCCAACCTCTGTCTTCACTACCTACTCTGAGGTATGTCTTATTGAATCTACTTGTATTCATAGAATTTAGGATTCATCCTAGAAATGATAATTCTCATTTTCCCAAAGAAGGCACTGAGATTCTAAAGTCGGTAGAGTCCTCAGGCCTTAGGGACAATGTGGGACAGGGGTGCTCCCTGTGTGTCTTACACCTCATCTCACATATTCAGGAGGCTTCTGCTCTTGCGTTCTTTCTTGTTGCATAAGAGCACCAGGGCAGGTGAGAGCAAATGATCCATCTTCATTAGTACTCTAGGTGGTTAGATCAGTTCTTCTGCCAGCATTAAACTTTGGGGAGGGAGTGTCATGGAAACAGTAGCATTAATAAATAGCCCTTTCTTTGCTCAGTCATCCAAGGGGACCTGTAAATGATAATCAGCAAAAACAGCTAGATCTTGGTATAAAATACTTTTTCAACCAAAGGGAATAAAAGGCCTTTGAAAACTGGCCATTTCAAGGCTTGGGTAAGAAAGAATAAAAAAGATTTTGGTGGGAGTATCTTGGAGAAGAAAGTACTCAAATACAATAGTGGAGCATTAGAGGGACATGGATGTCAACTGAGTAGGATCTCTGACTAAAGCAAGGGATGACATGATTATAAAGAAGTATATTGTCGGGCGGTGGTGACACATGCCTTTAATCCCATCACTATGGAGGCAGAGGCAAGTGGATCTCTGTATATTCAAGGCCTGGTCTACAGAGTAAGTTCCAGGACAGGCTCCAAAGCTACAGTAATATACACGGTAGGGAGGCAGTGCTCAGTGAATAATGTGCATTCAGACTGACTATGTGGAGCAATGTTGGCAAATGGTATTGATGGTACCTAAGGCAAATGACCTTACTATGTTTTCTCAGAATCTTTCTACACCTTTCCATGTCCCTTCAATGTCTATCAAATGGCGCAATTATAAGGATCCACTCACACAGTGTTGTATTTTTTATTAAACTTTGCTCCATTTTATAGATGAGCATTAATTTATTGCTCTATGTACTAACTTCACTTAGTTGGGAAGACACTGCATTACAATGTGGTGGGTTGAACCAAAACTGAACTCATCTGAAAGTCTGACTTGAGTACTTCTAGAATGAGGGACTTCAGTTTGAGTTTCTATAGTCTTGGAAAGTGTAAGCAGTGTGACAGGATTATTGACATATGACCACAGTAGATAACCTGTGGAGTGCTGCATGCTGCATACGCAGATGTAGTGGAAGCGATAGGCTTGGAAAGAAATGTGGGATGATTGTGTGCAAGTATCGAGGAGTATATTCGCTTTTTTGATAATTGCTTGATAAAGAAATGGCAGAGATTCTATATAAAACTTCATAGGATGTTGGTTAAAGAAGAGAGGGGGCTTTTAAATGCTTTTTATGATTCAACTATTAACCTGTTACATAATCAGTTGTAATTCCACTAATTTTGCACTGGTGTTTTTTGGATACTGTTTCGCTACTGTTCTATTGCTGTGAAGAGACACCATGAGCAAGTCAGCTCTTACAAAGAAGGCATTTAGTTGGTGCTTGCTCATAGTTTTAAAGGATTAGTTCATCATCGTCATAAAGGAAGCATGGTGGTAGGCAGACAGTCATGGGGCTGAAAGTTTACATCCTGATCCATAAGCAGTCTGAGAGAGAGAGAGAGAGAGAGAGAGAGAGAGAGAGAGAGAGAGAGAGACAGAGACAGAGACAGACACAGAGAGAGATTCAGATAGGGCTCATTCTCATTTAAACCACCACAGACATAGATGCATAAATTAACAACTAAGAAAAAATCAGTTTAAGTATATAATACAAGTAAAATTCATTTCATATTGCAATGTGTATTTAACATTTGAAGATCAAACCTTGTAATTTATAGTAGCAAAATTCAGTTAGCAGTTGTAATCATTTCCATGCACTAAGGAAATAAAAGACTATTTGACACACATCTAAAAATATAGACTGTGTGTGTGTGTGTGTGTGTGTGTGTGTGTGTGTATGTGTGTGTGTGTGTGTGTGTGTGTATAAAACTGTTGATGATTGGACTACTGTTGGTATAGAGCCAAATATCCTCAGAAACTGAGAGCAGCAAATAACCCAATCCTGACAAATAAACTCTGCAAGAATTCTGAAACTTTCCTTATGCTTTTAAGCAAAAGAAAAATGCAAGAAAATTGTTTTTAATTTTTTCCTTTCTTGGCTATAATTCTTATGGATTCTACCCAATAACATGGAGAAGAAGGAAAAGTATAATTTCTCCTAATGCAAGAAAAAAGTAATTCCACCCTTACTAAAAATTGCCATGATTGTCTGTAGAAAATGTAATGGAACACACAATTTATTTTAGAAAGTCTAAGATGAGTGTGTCATGGAACTGAAAGAGAGATCAGTGTCCTGATATTACTGGTCTGCTCTATATGTATATATATTGGAGAGTTACAGCTTAAAGTCATTTGTAGTAGAATTTTGCATTATGCATCACACTATTCAACCAGGAATGAACTAAATCTCACAAAATGCTGGGAGACTAACTTCTAATTCCCAGTGGGTATGATGACTTGGGACGGATGTGTGAAGGCAGAGTAAGGGTGAAACTCTGAGCACCTGTTTCAAACAAGTGGCCTCGCAGAGCCTGAACCATTTTTATTTGTACAGTTTCAATAGTTTTCATGAACGGTTTTACAATCATATCTGTTCCTAAAGTTTCTAATAATAATTAAATAGTTGCCGGTTTGTTCCCTTACCTCCTTTCCTTTCCATCCCCTTCACACCACTAATCATCACCGACTTGATTCATAGCTAATCATTATGACTAATCATTACCGATTTGATTCATAGCTTCAATAATAGAAACATAAGAAATGTAGCACGTAACAAAGAAAATTCCCTATCTAGGCACACCTACAGGTAAAACAGTGTGTCTAGCTAGCAGCATTTGCAGTTACAGCATCATACAAAACGAAAGAGAATTTTAGCTCTAGTGGTCAATGTTCACCTCGAGTCAAATCTAAGCTCTCACAATGAACTCATCAGCCAAGGCTGAATCAATTCATTTTTCATTCTATTCCACCCTACCTCCTATGGGGAATATACCAAGTTTTCCCCCTATCATCCTGTGGACTAAATAACAAGAACTTGTTTGTGTTATTCTCAGGTCATATCCCCTGAAGAAGTCACATGGTCCCCAGCAACAAAGGATTTTAAATTTTTAGTGATCACTAGAACTTGAGTTAAGATGTAATTTTCCTTCACAGGACAAAATAATCCCTATTGGAATGCTAACAGAAACTTCTATAGCATAAATTAACAAACATATTCTAAAATTCATGTGATGGCAAAACACCCCGATTATCCGCATGGATTTTCAAAAATGATAAAGGCAACAGATTGATTTAAAGTTCTGAGACCATATATGTTTTAATATTTCTTATATACTACAATAATCAAGACATTGCTATGTGCCTCAATGCAATATTTAGACCAATGGAGATCAGTAAAGAACAAGATTAACATCATTTGAATGAAAATGTACAAGAGATTTTGACACAATCAAAATCACAATTTACTAGGGAAATAGTGCTTGAACCTTTAAATACCTTTGTGTTTAAAATGGATTTTTTATTTGTACAATATGCAAAAATTAATTAAAAAATCTTATAACTAAGTATAAAACCTCATGGAGTTTTAGCAAAAACATTTATCATGTTTAGTTAAGCAAAACATTTTAGATACAGTTCAAATGTTTAGCAGGAATGAACAAGTTGTTGTATTGGATTTTAGTTTCAAAGTTGTAATTTGGTAGAAATTCAAAAGTGAAATTTTTAACTGCAATGAGCTAACCATACCATACCTCTAAGCTGCTGAAGAGAGAGCAAA